AGACGGGAGGAAGTAACGGAAGGACGCTAGAAGGTAACTTTTGACAACTCGGAGGATGACGGATGGTAATTACGGAAGTTAGGGACCATTGATGGCGATGCCACCAAACTCGAGGGACCATAGGTGGTATTTACTCTAGACTTTATGTATTAGAATAATATACTTTATGTGTTTTTGGACAGTGGTCCACACAGCTATGCAATAATGATTGGTATTCAACATGCTCGGAGTATTTTAGTGGATTAAGAGTCGTCCAATATTGCTTCGATGGATCCTTACGGATGATGAGATTTTGACTAGATATGAAATCATTAATGCTCAATCTAAATATCTAATGATATAAGGATTTTATTTATCATTGTTTGAATTCTTATTTAAGATCACTACAGTTTTTTTTCGGTGGCTGTAGGATGAAAGACCGCCTATAGATGGTAGGGTAGGGTGGGTGGTACCGCTCAAATTGCGCCTAATCTTCCTAATCATATGGAAGCGGGACTTAGAGTGTGTGAAACTAAAACACTACCTCATAAGGGAGTTCTTCATGTACCTGAGGAAAGGTTTGTCAAGAGGCGATAAGTGTTGGGTGATCCACTCCCTTTGACCAAACAAAATTGTGAAGATTTAAAAGTTGCTTTAAATAGGTTCACATGTGGGGGAGTTTGTGTTAGGGCTCTGAAACAATGTTGGATGAAATCTTTTGACATGTATGCTAAGATTAATGTTGATAGGAGTGCATAAAGACAATAGGGTGAAACTACAGGTTTGGAGAATCCTAATGGATAATTAAGTATGACAAATGGGTGGAAGGTTTATTTATAGGATCGGATTAACATTGCTTGTAACTTTACCATAGAATTGTGGACTATATATTATGGCATGTGATTGGGTTGGGAGGGGAGTTGCCGAAGTTTGGAAGTAGAGAGTGATCCCATATGTTGGCAATCCAATGAATTCATGGATTTGGAGGGGACAAGGATTTGAGGAAACAATTAATTGGAGGCATTCAAAAGTTTCTAAGGATTTACATTGGTCTTCTTTGATAAATGACTATTAGCTGATAGCTGTTAGTTGTTTGGTATAACTAGTTGATAGCATTAGGTAATTGTAGAAATTGTTTGGTAAATTAGTTGTTAGCTAATAGTTGTTTGGTATAGTTTCCTTTCTCAAAAAGTTAATTGAAAAAGTTGTTTTGAGTAATTTTTTGAATTTTAAGATTTTGGAATTACAAAAACTAGTATTTGCACCCGTGCGATGCACGGAATGGATTTGTTGTAATATATTAAGAATATATGAATTGATATATAATTATTTTATTTAGAACATCAAATATTATATAGTACAATTAAAGATATGGTTTGAATCGTTTATATATTTCGATGTTATTATTGCTTGAATTTGTGCAAATAATTGCTCAAATTAATAGCTAATGTCTAGATGTACGCATGAGGTGCTATAACTTTTGAAGATTTTATATATCATTGTTTAGTATTTTCATAAATTAGGCAAATATGCTTGTTCTCTAACAACTCAGTTATAGAAATGAATTGCTATCTTTATTCATTTGTATGGAAGATATATTTTTTTGTCTAGATATACAACAATTTTTTCATTTAATTTTTTTAATATCACCGATTATATTTACACATTATTAACCTCTTTGTAGACGACAATGGTAGTGACAACACAATCTTGTTCATCTTCGTCTAGAACTAACACCATCAATCCATTAGGATAGGTTACTTGGGTGAAAATATATAATGGTAGAATATCATTCAATTAGTTATCCTTTTATATTTTCAGTCAATTAGTAATATCATATTCATTTTTAGCATGGTTGCAGTAGGCGCTAGGCGCTAGTCGGGCGCCCGGACAGCGCCTAGCGCCTAGGCGGAATCTAGGCGGGCGCAAAAAAAAAAAACAGTGGTAGACTTGCAGTTTGACAATTTTAATGAGGTTGTTTTCAACATTTAATCAAATAACACATCAAAATAAATGAATTAATGATAATTCTTAATTCATAACATCAAAACAATGGTTTTCAAAAAAAAACATTAAAACAATATTAAAAATTAAAAATACTCAAATACTTCAATCATCCAAAGATTCAAAGTATCAAACTAGTCTACGAGTGTATAATAATATGTCATATTATATATATGTATGCGCGCGTGCGCACACGCACACACATATATATAATAATAAAATAGGCCGAGCCGATTGGGTTAACTCGACCGAAATGGGCGAGTTAACTCGACTAACTTAGACGCTAGGCGGCCAAATCGACCGAGTTAGGCGCTAGGCGGACACCTAGGCGGCCGGTAACCTAGGCGGGCGCCTAGGGGAGAAATCGCCACGGTCTAGAGGCGCCTAGCGCCTAGGCGGGCGCCTAGACCGATTTTTACAACCCTGATTTTTAGTCAATTATTCTTTTTTATTTTCAGTCAATTAGTCATTAGAATATCAAATGCTGTGATATTTTTACCTAATTTTCGTTCCATTTTTAATTGATGATGTAGATATTATTATTGAAATATTTTCGTTCCATTTTTAATTTACCTTTACAATTCTTTAAAATATGAATTTACTATTGATAATGTAGAATATTATTATTGGAATATTTTCCTCCAATTTTTAATTTTCATTCCATTTTTAATTAAAATGCAATGATCGGACCATTTTTTTTTTATTTTAGTCAATTATGGATCATTTTTTATTTGCAGTCAATTATTAATATTCATTTTATTTTATATTTTATGTCAATTAGTAATATTAGATTCATTTTCAGTCAATTATCCTTTTTTATTTTCAGTCAATTAGTCAATTAGAATATAAATGCAGTGATATTTTTACCTAATTTCCGTCCCATTTTAATTTGATGATATAGAATATTATTAATGAAATATGTTCGTTCCATTTTTAATTTCGCTTTACTATTTTTGAAAATATGTCTTTACTATTTGATGATGTAAAATATTATTTTTAAAATATTTCATTTTCATTTTTAATTTTTATTTACTTGTAAATAAACCACAAAAAAAAAAAAAAAACTTTGGACATCTCAATACTTGCCCACATTGATGGGCAAACAATTATGTTGGTAAGAGGAGCATTGCTGCTCTTATATAGAGGAGTTCAAAAGCTCCTCTTTCCAAACATTTTCAATGTGAGATCAAAATGATCCCACATCATTTACAAAGGGAGCTTGTTGCTCCCTTTTGTGTTCTTTTTTTTTTTTTTTTTTTTTTTTTTTTTTTTTTTTTTAATTTTTTTTATAATTTTATTTTATTTTGTATATCGTTTTATATGGATTATTATTATTATTATTATTATTATTATTTATTATTATTATTATTATTATTATTATTATTATTATTATTATTATTATTATTTGATTATTAACAAATTTGTCAAAATTTTAACAAATTCGTCATTTTAACAATTTATATTTAATCAAAACACCAAAAATATTATTTAATAGCTCAGTAATTTGCTCCAAACTGCTAAAAACTAAAAGAGTTAATTCCACTATAGGTCCCTTGTCTTTAATTACAATTCCAAATTTAATCCAGACTATTATTTTTGCCATTTTACATCCCAAACTATCATTTTTTGGACGCTTTTAGTCCTTCTCATGACTTTCTCTATTTTTAGTAAGGGCATTTTTGTCTCTTCATATTTTTATTTTATTGTTTTTCCAGTTTCAACCGCTTTAATTGGTTTAGAACTTTAGGTAACATCTGTGTTAGTGTTTTATTTTGTTCAAAAAACCCAACATATAATTGGCAATATTATTATGGCAAATTAAGATAGGGTTTAACTTGGTGTCTGTTTGTTCTTATAGAAGACTGATTGATCAGTATTATCAACAGACGCACTGCCCCTGAAGATCTGTTAAAGGAAGATGTTTCTAAAATGCTGAACGCGGTTTATGAAGACAGTTTTGGAAAGAATATCAGCGGATCAGCGTGGAAGGTATGGACTAAATCTTAAAGATTGCATTCTTCACAAATCGTCCTACCATCTACGATCAAAGATATTTTTGGAGAGTGTTGTTACCAAGGAAGTATAAGTATCCTCATTCGATCAAAAATTAGGGTTACGTTTTGAAGAAGACAAAAAAACACTCAATGCTATATAGGAACACATATATTTGATTACCATGTCTCTTCTCAAGATATTAAGTTCTTGGTGATTATGATGAAGAACTTGAGAAGAATTAACGTTGCTTAAACGAAAGGACGCGAAGATCACTCAGTTGTGGGAACAATGTGGGACTGCATCATTGAAGCGGACTGCATCAGAGTTAGCTCTCTAATCGAAGGGATTTCATTAGACTTCTGCATGCGTGGCTCTCCGACTTCAACAATCCAGTAAAACTTTGTAGACTGGGTACGTACCTTGTGTGGGGCACTTGGGTGAGATTGTTGTTTCTCTACCTTTGTACATTGGATTATGAATTAGTGGATTGGACGCCTCGGTGATCGTCTCTCAGACGTAGATACACACTGTATCGAACTGGGTAAACATCGTATGTGTTGTTTTACTTTCTGCTTTAGTCTTCCGCTCTAAACTAATCTGCTTTCTCACTGGATGGCTGACAAATCAAGTCGCTGAGTCAGTCAGTCCAATATATCAGTTGATAATCTCTATTAATAATCTTAAACTGAGGAAATGCAAAATTACATGTGGTATCAGAGCTTTTAAGTCTACATAGTGACTTGATCCTTACGGGAAAATTTCTTTTGCATCTTTATCTCTTTAAGAAGCTATTTACTTGGTTGTCTGTTCTGCTTGTGGATTCTGGTTGGTTGTATTTTTTTTTATTCAGGATGGATGCAAATATGAAACCACCAGAATTGGATGGTCACAATTATTCCTTCTGGTAGGCTAGAATGAAGATTTATCTTTAAGCACAAGGCACTAGAGTGTATCGTACTGTCCTCACCGGATGGAGTCCTTCGACAGTTCTGAATGCTGCTGGAGCCGCTGAGGCCAAACCAATGGAGACATGGACTGAAGATGAGATATCGTCCTCTAATCTGAATAATAAAGCACTGAATTCAATTGTAGGGTCTCTACATGAATCAGTGTTTACCTTGGTTACAGGAATAAAAGAGGCAAAACATTATGGGAAATCCTTGAAACAAGATTTGAGGGTACCAGTGATGTCAAACAGTCGAAACTTCAGATGGTTTTATTAGAATTCGAAGCTCTTAGAATGAGTGAAAAAGAGACTATCTCCAACTTCCATAGTCGTGTTTAGAATTTGATGAATCGAGCATCAGTCCTGGGGGAACCTTTTACGGATGAAAGAGTTGTCAAGAAGATCCTTCGCTCTCTGCCCAAACGATTTCGAATGAAAGTGACTGCTATTCAGGAAAACGCAGGATGGGAGAAAAAGAGTGTGGGAGAGCTTATGGGTAATCTGCATACTTATGAACTTCAAGTGTTGGCTGATGACGACCCTGCGGTCAGCAGAGAAGGGAAATCAATGGCTTTTCTAGCAGAAGCTGATAGAGAATCTGACACTGATGACATAGATGATGAAGCCCTAGCCTTGCTAACAAAAAATTTCAAGAAAATTCTGAAAGGTTTCAATCGGAGAAGTCAAAGACAATCCAATAGGACTCAGTACAAAAGTGGAAACTCATCTTACCAGAAATTAGAACTGTCCACTTTCACAAAGAATAGTCAAACCCAGACTAGACGGACAGGTCAATTCAGGACTACATCTAATGATACAGCTAAAACCTTAAATCGGTCAGTGCAGTGTCGAGAGTGAAGGGTTTGGACACATACAATCTGAATGTGCAACATATCTCAAAAGAAAAAAATCTATGTCTGTGTCTACCCTAAGTGATGATGAAGAAGAAGCAACAGATGACCCGTCTGATGAAAATGTGGGTAACTTCGTAGCCTTCTTCACGGCAACGGAGGGTCACTCAGAAGAAGATGAAAATGATGCATGGTGAATCTTACATATCATTAGATTATTTTGAAGAAAGACATGCTCAGCTAGAGATAGAATTTGCTAAATTGGTGGGCAGTTGGGAACAGCTAGTGAAAATCAACAAGAATCTGAATGATGATCTGAAACACAGAGATGATCGTCTGAAAGAACTAAACACTGAATTAGTTGCAAAAGAGGACCTTATCACTCAGATCAGATCTCGAGAGGGAAAATTGATAAAGGAACTGGAGGATCTGAAGAAAACTATCAGGATGATGGATACCACGTCAACCTTAGACAGAATTCTGGATTCAGGTCGAAATCCTAATGATAAAAAGGGTCTTGGATTTGAACAAGGACAGTCCTCAATGTCAGCTCCTACTTTTGTCAAAGAAGGTACCGTTGAACAAGGCCAATCATCAAGATCAACTCAGTTTTACCAAAAAGGAAACAGGTTCACTTCAATTACTGAGTCTGAACCTGGCAAAGTCAAATTTCAATCTCAGCACTCAAGGTTTAAAAATCAATACATTAAAGTCAGACAGTATGTACCTATTTGCCACTACTGTTTAACAAAAGGACACACCAGACCTGAATGCTATTTCTTCTACAGAGATCAGAGGAAGGAGAAATATCAGAATAAATCAATTACTCCCTTCACAAAACAAGTTTGGGTTAAAAAATCAGAAGTTATCTGCTATCCCACCATTGTGCTGACCGCCTCTATGACTGAAGTAAGATGGTACTTCGACAGTGGTTGTTCCAGGCATATGACTGGGAATGCTAAGTGTCTCATAGCTGTTCAACCCAACAGTGGGTCAATGACATATGGGGATGGACAAAAGGGAAAGATAGTTGGTAAATGTAAGTTGAATGTGCCAGGACTACCACATCTGGATGATGTTCTTTTAGTTAGTGGCTTGAAGGCAAATCTCATTAGCATCAGTCAGCTGTGTGATCAGAATTGGGATGTGTGTTTCAACCGAGACTGTTGTAGAGTCCGCAATAAGTCTGTTCAAGTGGTAATGGAAGGAACTCGTTCCTCTGACAATTGCTATGTGTTAACTAGTGAAGCTACCTGTCTTATGTCAAAAGCAGAAGAATCTAAACTTTGGCATCGACGCTTGGGACACATAAATTTCAGAGATATGGACAAAGTAGTCAAACTAGATGCTGTTTGAGGCATACCTAAACTTAAAGTTGAACAAGAAGGAGTTTGTGGTGCTTGTGCTATTGGAAAACAAATCAGAGCACCTCACAAAGCTGTAAAAATGATTAGTATTGAGAAATGTCTAGAACTGGTTCATATAGATCTTATGGGACCAACTCAGACTGAAAGCATTGGAGGAAAGAAATACATCTTTGTATGTGTGGACGACTTTTCACGATACAGTTGGGTATTGTAACACCCCACTTTTCTAACTCTTAATTACATCTCTAATCAGTCATTAACATGACTAGGCAGCGGGAAACTAAAAGATAATTAGTGGGAGTGTCACCGCCACAACCACCACTCTTTGGTGATTGCACAGGCTAAAAGGGGTAAAACCGTAAAACTAGAAATAAGATTAAGTCTGGGAACTAAATATAAATACTGGAAAAGTAAGGGGGAAAAACATCACCCCGAAAGTCTACAACATCATCAAAAGTATAAGGTCATAAGTCTAAATCCATAACATAATCATCAACCGAACTAGAGTTTAGATTACTCTATCTACGAGACTCATCTAACTCGACTTCTTCACACAGCTGGGCCCACCTGAAAGGGGTTTTGCAAGCAACACATAGACAAACAAGAAAAACACCCGTTAGCTCGAAGCTAAGTATAACCACACTCAACCCTGTAAAGCATTCTAGCATAAACTTTGAAAACATTTGATATCTTCATAGCAATAAACTAATCTCAAATCATCTTTAGATTATCACATTCTTTCTAGATGCTTACACCCTATAATATCATCTTGCATGCTTATGTAAGTACAAGACTGTTCACATAGATTCAACAGCTTATAAACTTCTTAGATACTTAACAAGCAACTCATGCTTATGGATTGGTTCATGTTAAAGGACCATACAACAGGTATTTACATGCTTTCACATTCTTACCACATTACTTGACAAGTAGAGCTTCTACTACAACACGATAATCATGCTCAAGTTAAACTTCTCATTAAACAATCTTTTACGATGCTCTATTCGCATACAATCATGTATAACATATTAACATTATGATCATACTTCTTATGCAATCTAGTGCAACAATATATTCATACTCATATGCAAACTCGTGCAATTATATAATTATACTCATATGCAATCTAGTGCAACAATATAATCATTCTCTTATGCAATCTAGTGCAACAATATAATCATACTCTTATGCAATCTAGTGCAACAATATAATCATACTCTTATGCAATCTAGTGCAATAATGTAATCATACTCTTATGCAATCTCTTGCAACAATATACTCATGCTCATATGCAATCTAGTGCAATAATGTAATCATACTCTTATGCAATCTCGTGCAACAATATACTCATGCTCATATGCAATCTAGTGCAATAATATACCCATACACTCATTTATAAATTAGAGTACTTTCTGTCACTACTGGAAATTCTGAAATTTCCGACCACCTAAAAGTGATCTTAAATCAAGTTGAAAGTCTTGTTCCGATCACTTTTGGTATCCGGAAAAACCTTTGTTGCTATTTCCGACCACTTTTTGGACTTTTTGGTATCAACTTAATTTAAGATCATTTTCAGGTGGTCGGAAATTTCAGAATTTCCAGTAGTGTGTGGAGGTCTCTTTGTTACTTTCTCGAGTCTCTCTTGACTCTCTTTCTTTCTCTCGAGTCTTTATTGACTCTCATACTTGAGTCTCTGTTGACTCTCTTTCTTGAGTCTCTGTTGACTCTCTTTCTTTCTCTTATACCCGTAGACGGCTTAGGGTTTCACAGAAGTGTCACTCACCCCATCGGGAACGGCATAATTCCGACCCAATATCTCCTACCGTCTACGGAACCAATCTCGTGGTTCAAACTCTGTGGAATCAGGTATCGAACTATTAGTGTGCACACCCCCTAACCAGGATTCCAAGCCTGGCGGGAAGTTTCCAACCGCGTAACGTGGGAATACGCCGCGTTACATATACTGGGACCGCAATGTCCATAAATATTTCCCGAGAGGAACATAGTCCAAACAGTATCCTCCAAAACCTCACTGATATAGATAATACATAAATATACCTCTCATGCATGCAACAATTCTACTACTTCTCAATGCATCAAAGAATGATATACCACATGCTTATGGTTTTTTAAAGTATTCTTGGACTCACGTTGGCCCCTTATGCATTTTTGAAATATGACTCATGTGAAATGTCAAAATGCTCTATATCATGATTCTAAATCATGTATAAACTAACATGAAGTATTCAATAACATATCATCATGCTCGGTTTGCAACATAGCAATTTCTATACATTTCACTCAACAAATACGCTTCTATTCTCATTGATCAAATAATACAATTTAATCATGCTTTCATAATAAATCATATTCTCAAAGGATCATGCTTCTTTACTCAATAAAATATCATCAGATCACAATAATCAAATAATTCTTCATATTCAGTAAACTAGCAAATTATTCACTGTGTAGCAATTCTTCACAAAATCTTTCATAACATACTTGTTTTTAATCCAAATTCAACGAAATCAAAGCCAAAACGTGTGTCGAGACGATCCCGAAGAGCCGAGCCACAAGGTCCAGTAACACTCGGTCCGAAACAACACGTAGCTGAGCCACAAGGGCCCGGCCACTACACAAAAATCCTTCACAGACTATACTCAGGGACCTGGGGCGGGACTCCTCATGGTCCGCCCCTGAAGCCCCGTTAAAGCACCGGGACTAGGCAACGACCCTCCTCTAGGGCCGTGCCCTAGTCCCGTGCCACCACGGCTCTAGTTGGCGGTCCTTCTGATGGGCTGCGGCTAGGGCCACCACTCTGATCTGGTGCACACTGTGTTGTGCACCAGATGTTGTTTCACCTGCAAAATCTCATCCAAACAAGTCCAAAACAATCTCAACAACTCACAAACACATACTAAATCACTTCCAAACATGAACACATCAAAAACTCGTAGTTTCTACTCATTTCTACTCAAAACTAAGGCTTCACAGAGCCAAATTTAGAGAGGAATCCATGGGGTTATACCTCTTGTAGTCTAATCTTCTTACTTGGATCTCTTCTTCCTCTTGACCTAGCTTGAGCCTCCTTCACCACCTACACTTCCCAATCACACCTTCTATCCTTAGCCTAGAACCTCAAATACTAAAGGAAACTAGAAGAGAAAAGAGGCTAGAAATGAAGGATGAATAAGCTTACTATGGTGTTGTTTCTCTTTTTGTTCTTGGCAGACAAAATTGTGAGGAAGAGGCAAAGAATGAGATCTGGAAAATAAGATGAAATAAGGTGGTTTATATAGGGTTCAAAACCCTAGGATGATTCACAATGATTGGTTGAGAACAAAGGGGTAATTTCACAAGCTAAAAGATGAATCAATAAGGGATTTTGGATGTCTTGTGGTCCACCATGCAACATGAACCATATGCTAGAAATGCTATCTTTTTATTACTTTGGGGTTGAAAGTGAATTTTCCCAAAAGCTATATGGATGGACACTTGTTCAAAAATCCTTTTTGAATTCTCCCGGTCTCACTCAGATAAAATTCTCGATTTAAATCTTGGTACGCGAAGTACCCGAAAACTTAGAGATTTTTGAATAGAATTCATTTCTTCGGTGTCGAATTAATTTTAAAATGCAATGAAATTATTTTATTCAACCACCGATTGATTGCAAAAATTTTTAATGGAGTGAAAAAGCTACTTTGAGATTTCTTAATACTGAATTTATAAAATGAAAGTTTGGGTTGTTACAGGTATACTTTCTAAGAGAAAAATCTGAGGCATTTAATGCCTTCAAAACTTTGTGCATAAGGATACAAAAGGAAATGAACGAGTCCATTGTAAAAATCCAAAGGTTGAGAAGTGATCATGGAAAAGAGTTTGAGAATGTCTTATACTCAGAATTCTGCTCAGAAAATGGAATAGCTCATGAATTCTCCGCTCCAAGAACAGCACAACAGAATGGGGTCGTGGAAAGGAAGAATCGAACCTTGCAAGAAATGACAAGAGTTATGCTACATGCTTCACATCTACCACAACGCTTCTGGGCAGAAGCAGTAAATACTGCATGTCACACAATCAATAGAATTTATCTCAAACCTAGTATGTCTCAGACACCATATGAGATTTGGAAAGGCAAGAAACCAAATTTGAAGTACTTTCATGTGTTTGGAACCAAATGCTATATTCTGATTGACCGGGAACAAAGAGAGAAGTTGGAGTATTTCTTGGATACTCACCAAATAGTCGAGCTTATAGGGTCTACAACAAAAGAACTCAAACAGTCATGGAATCAGTAAATGTGGTTATTAATCACAATCCAGAAGAATCAGATGAAACTTTTCTTACTGAGTCTACGTCAGACACTCTTGTCAGTGATCTACCAAAGATCTCCGACACAAATAAACTGATTGACCCACAAGACTTTTCAGAAGAAGATAAAGAAAGTCCTGAACAGGAAAAATTACTCTCTGATGGAGATGGAAAGAATAAGCCCACCAGAACTCAGAAAAATCATCCATCAGACAACATAAGTGGTGATCCAATAGATAGAATGCACACCAGAAGCCGGATGAGAAACAACCTGATAGAAATAGCCGGTTTTGCCTGTTACACCTAAAAAATAGAGCCAAAAAATGTGAAGGAAGCATTACAGGATGACTTATGGGTTAAGGCCATGCAAGAGGAACTACATTAGTTCGAACGAAATCATGTATGGGATCTGGTACCAAGACCTGACAGTGTTAACGTAATCGGAACAAAGTGGATTTTCAAAAATAAAACTGATGAAGCTGGTAATATTGCAAGAAACAAGGCTCGCTTAGTTGCTCAAGGATATACTCAAATAGAAGGAATTGACTATGATGAAACATTTGCTCCTGTTGCAAGACTAGAGTCAATCAGAATCTTATTGGCAGTAGCATGTATTCTGGGATTCACACTGTTTCAGATGGATGTCAAGACAGCATTCTTGAATGGTTATCTGCATGA